AAAATGATAAAAACCAGCTTTGCATAGTACTTTCCACGTTCACTGTCGATTTTCCATTAAAACCACAACTATGCTCGTTGGAATAGTACTACTTCATCGGTTCTCAGTATTTTTCTTTGAATGAAACCCATTTCCTATACTTTTCATCTAAGTTTTCGATATCAAAGGAGATTTTTATGTAGCACGAAATAGTACATACCTCACTTGTATATTTGTTTGTGCGCAGTGTTAGCTACCCAGTATATTTATACTGTTAATGAGTGTGTATATACTTCACATGATTTGTTTTGGAACACCGTATTTGCCTTTTAAAGTCGTATTCTGAGGGTATCCGTACTTAACAAGCATAAAGAATAAAAAAAAACGATGTATAAGTAAAAGAATATAATATGCATCGTATTTTTGTGTGCATTTCTACTTCTTCGGAGGAGAACAAAAAGGAAAAGGCAAAATATTTCTAGGTGTGCCTCAATCTAGATATGATCGAAAATAATAGGACCTATACTCAACATGGATCTTTTAGTTTTATTGGAAAAATATGGACATGAAAACATGATTTTTCACTTTCTTCGTCTCAGTTCCATTGATTTGTTAAACTAATGATGTTCTTTTCCTGTTATTTGTCATCATATTAACCCCCGAAAGATATATATTTAAAAATCAATTGAAGAAAATCTAAGTATAGAATTTTATAAGGTGAAACTTAGTTAATCTTTTGAGATATTACTCATTCGAGTCGATTGACTTTTATGATGAAAAACTAGTCATATACTGACCTCGATAACTATTTTCAGATCTTCATGAAGATACATTCAATGTTTCTTTCACACACACTGGTGTGCAATTCGACTTCTATTTTTTAAAATCCTATAATTTTGTTTAATCCTATATTTTTTTTCTATTTTACTGTGTTTTGCCCAAAAAATGAAAACGATTTAGAAGTTTGTCAATTCTAATCTATATAGATTGTATTCCTCAAGCAAGCTTTACGAAATATAGATAGATTTGTTAGTGTTGCTTCTAAAATAGTTGGGATTGATTCACATAAGTAAATTTAATATGACCATACCTCTACTACGAATCAATAGTAGAAATGATTGATACTATAGATGTTATTAGATCTCTAAGATACGTTTATGTTTTGCAAATATTCTTTCACTCATTCATATTCGTATATATCTTCTATACATGCATAAAAGTAGTCAAAAAAACAATTCAAACGACTGAATTGTCTTCATATGTATTGCCTTACATGATAAGAACAAAAGATAGATCCTTTTTCGTTGACGCTTACAATCAGTTTCTATTTTCTACTTTGTTCTCTATAGGAATCAGTAACCTTGAGCATTGCTCAAAATATTCGATAGTCTGTTCTATCTTTCGTACATAGACAAATGTTTATTTTTTTTGGAAAACAGTATAGATTAATTCGAAAAAGTCAAATGACTTATATTTCCCAAGACTTATAGGATATAAAGAGATCTAAGATCTAATTACGTCAAATGATACTGTTGCTTTCATAACTAGTATGGGCAATATCTATAGAGAAACGCATAGATTTTTCGCTGATAAGATAGAGACATGCTCAGACTGTGCACTGATAGTAGCCAAAATATTTTATTCTTTCTTCTAATTGCACAAATTAAGGAATACGAATTACAACCAAAAGATGTCTGAATACTTTTTTATTACTTGTATGGAGTATCCAATAATAAATAATTGAATGTTGCATTTAAAAACGTATTAACAAAAATGTACGATTTCTTCTATTTAAAGTTCAAGTTGAACTATTGCAGATAAACTATCGAAAATTTATTGTACTTCCTTTCCTAAGAAAATATTCGAAATTTTGAGAAAATCACGTATTCTGAATATGTAATGTTGATTTCAATATGGAGCCAGTAAACACATAATTAAAACAAAGATTCATAGTTCTAACGTTTACATGTATTTTATGCAGAAGCATTAATATTGGCTGTGATTATCAAGTTAAAAAGCAGTTCAATAATAGAAATATTCAAAAATACAAATAAAATATGAACGTAACATAATATAATCAATATAATGCTCCGTAGATTATAGATGATATCGCTTATAATTTCTCTTTTGAAAATGTTTTTAATCAGAGTAGAATTATGTGTAGTCTTTATAGATGAGATATAACTTTGAAATCACAATAAAAAAATGGTATGCATTTGGTAGAAGAAAAACACTGAAAATAGAAAAGAAACGTTAAAAGAAAACATATCAAAAGTTCTATTAATGCTGCTTCAGCACACCATTCATCGACATTTCGTGAAAAATCTGAAGTAGCATTTGCATTGGATACTTAAACATGAATAGTGCGTGCTCGAATGACATCAGTATCATTTTTGATATATTTCTTTTCAATATTGTTTACGTTATACCAAATTTAAACATACCCAGTGAGTTTTATGCATGTTCTTTGCTTGATTAGAGGTTATGAATAGATTTTTCTTCAACTTCCCGACGGCTGATAAGGAGTATTTTTAAAGTTTGCTTAGGTAATAATGTTTGGGGCGACTATTTTTTTCGTATATGAAAAAATAAATAATCACCCTGTTTTAGTTCTTACTAGCGATTAGAGACCTGCATCGAACTCCGAAATCCGACTCTGACTCTGACTTCAACGGAGTCGGAGTCGGGGTGTGGATGTGGAATTCGTTTCATGGAATTCACACCCACACCCATCCATTTATTTCTGCGATAGCATTCTTTGTTGTAGCGATACCTTTATGATCTGATGTAAACATTTTTCTTTACATATTTAATGATTCCTGATAATATTCAAATATATAATCGAATATAGTTGGTAGATCAGTTGTAATTAGCATTGAACTTAGAATGCTGTTTATTAGATTCTTGCTGGTAAAAAA